AAAAAAAAAAAAAAAAAAAAAAAAAAAGGAAGACTGCACATAGCTCGGCCTCAGTTCTGTCTCTGTCTTCCTTCAGTCCCTCTGCTCCTGAGTCACCTCATGAAGTTCTCTGACTTTGAGCCTCAGGAGTATAGAAATCGAATGGTTCCTCAGGTGCTTTGATAGAAGCCAGGAACTATGACCAAGGAGGCTGGAGCCCCTGTGAGGGGCTCTTTGTCCAAGGGGAGGGGCTGGGAGAGCAGCTGGCTGTCAAACGGGACCAGACATGGCTGCAGTCTCAGCGTTGCCACTCACACCACCAGCGTGGCCTGAGTTAAACCAGAAGCACTCACATCTACCTGTCGGAGTGGCCTGGAGGATGAAAACAGACGGCAATTTGCAGTGCCGCGGGAGTAAGGCTTTGCACAAGGGGAGTGCACAGGGGGAGGGTGGGCTGCCCCTGGCTGTCCAGAGGAAAACCTGAGTGAGGCCAGCACAGGGTTCTGATGGCTGTTTTGCAGCAGGGCAGACAAGCCGCCCTGAGCTTGGACCAAATCCCCCCAGCTACTCTTTGTCCACCAGAAACGAGCCACTCATCTCTTCTGAGTGACCAGCGTGGTGGGGGTTTGCAGAGAGGCCTGGCTCAGGGGTCAGTTCTGCTGGGGAGAAGGAGGGTAGGCAGGTCCACCCTTCTCAGAGCAGAACCCCCTGTGCACCTGTCCATTCCTTAAGGTCCCTGGGGAGGTCTCGGTAAGCAGACCTCCCCTGGCTTGAGAAAACCTAAGAGTCTAGACTATTGTCCAGTGGTAGAGAACTGTTAGAGTTTTCAAAGTGCTCTCTCACCTCTGTTCCTGGATCGACCCCCTCGGAGGGACTGTGCCGGGGGTGCCAGTGTCCCTCACTGAGGCCTTTCTGTGCCATAAGGGAAGCCACCCCCCTGTTGACTGGGGCAGGTCAAACAGCTGAGGGGGGGAGAGCACCTAAGGGCAGGGGACATGGTCTCCCTCTTCCTGTGTGGCAGGCAGCCTCTCCACACCTGGCTGTGAAGGGCTCAGCTGGGCCTGGGGTCGGCAAGCAGGTGGCCATTACTCACGCTCCGTCCCCATACACCTTGATGGCGTTGACGCAGTTCTTGGCCCAACCCCCACTCTGGAGGAAGGGGCAGTCCTCCAGGAATTCCAGGCACTGGCCTGTGAAGTTGCAGCCTTCGAAGATTTCTAGGCGGAAGTGCTCCCCGTGCTCCAAGGCCAAGCACAAAAGAGGAAGGAAAGAAGAAAAACACTCTGAGTTCCCCTTCCCCGAATGTAGGAGGCTGGCACCCCACTCCTGCTCCCACACTGCAACTAGCACTTCTGTTTGTCTTTCCGCAAAATATGTGGTTCAAGGAAAGGGTTCTATTACTTTACAAAGTTTCAAAGCCACTGAACTCGTCCAAGCTCCTCTTTTTTGCAATCAGAGAATCTGAGGTCCAAAGAGGGCAAGACTAGGTTGGGCATGGTGACTCATGCCTGTAATCCCAGCCCTTTGGGAGGCCAAGGAGGAGAGACTGCTTGAGCCCAGGAGTTTGAGACCAGCCTGGGCAACATAGTGAGACCTTGTCTCTACAAAAAATAAAAAAAATTAGCCAGGCATGGTGGCATGCATTCTTCAGTCCCAGCTGTTCGGGAGGCTGAGGCAGAAGGAGCGCTTGATCCCAGGAGGTGGGACTGCGGTAAGCTGTGATCATGCCACTGCATTCCAGCCTGGGCTACAGAGTGAGACCCTGACTCGTAAAACAAAAACAAAAACAAAGAGGGCAAGACTGACCATAGGCTAGCAGCCATGCTCAGACCAGGGCTGAGGTCACTGGGCTCCCTCTGGATGACTCTTGGGAGACTCCTGCCCCTGGCCACACAAACACACTCCCAAGCTTTGGGCCACCGGCCACAGGCAAACCTTTAAATGATAATATTTTAAAACTGTAATAGAGCCTTTTATTAAAACATAAAGCCAAAAATCTAAAATAAATAACAGATCTCATTGCAGAAATCCCTGTTGGCCCTGACATCATCGTTCACTAGGATCAGCACATATATATCTCTATATGATCCCCATATTTCCAAAAGACAGAGGGAGGGCCAGCCCCTGCCTGGCCCAGAAACCTGCAGGGCCTGAGTCTGCGTCACAGCTGGCCCTGGGTGGCTCTTAGGAGAACAACATTCACAAGATACCTAGTGTATTTTTCATATCAATAGCATTATGCAGGATCCAGGGCCAATCATTTTCATTCTTTTTTTTTCCAAATGTCCACGGCCTGGCAGGAATACTAAGAAAGCATTCTCACAATCTGAGATGCCAAAGCCCAGCTGGTTTTGCAACTGATATAAAAAAAGAGAGGGGCCCCCACACAGAGGCCCCTTCCCCGGATTCCTCAGACGTTCGCCAGACCCGCCAGGCCCAGAGGTCCAGAGAGGCCCTCAGGCAGACAAAGGCAGAGACTCTCTCTGACAGAGTTGCCTACCCCTGGTCTCAGGAATCAGCCACTTCCCACCCAGAGCTCAAGAACACACAGGAGGTCAGTCAGTACTTGTGACTTGCAGCTCCCTTGCTCAAATCCCCCCCTCGGGGTGACTAGACATAAACAGTCCTGGGCTCTGGGGGAGAGACACCCCACCTTTGCTTTCCCTGCATACACTGGGCCACATTTGTGGATAGCAGTCACCTGTGTCACTCCCAGGGATCTGCCTCCAAATTTTATGCTGACTGGCTTTCTCCATCAGCCTTTCCAAGACCAGGGCACAGAAGGTCCTGGAAGGGCTGCAACGTCACCTGCAAGGGTGGCTATACTAGGACCAAACCAGCCTTCCTGTAGCTGAGGACTCCCCCATCCGGTTGCAAATCTAAACGTAGGCTATTGCAATAGCATTTGAAATTGAAAATTTAGCTAGATATTTGGATCTGAAAATTAAAGTGATTTCGTGGTACAGGCATGAAAACTGAGGACACTCCCACTTTGTCCCCAGCAACTTGGCCCCCACACCTTTTCACACCCATACCAGGGGATAGATCTGAGTGGAGCTCCCTCTGTCTTAAAGATCTTAAAGCTGGGGCCAGTGTGGTGACCCACAGCTGTAATCCCAGCACTTTGGGAGGCTGAGGTGGGAGGACTGCTTGAAGCTAGGAGTTTAAGACCAGCTTGGGCACCATAATAAGATCTCACTTCTACCAACAATCTAAAACATAATCCTAGCTACTTGGGAGGCTGAGGTGGAAGGATTGTTTGAGCCCAGGAGCCAGGAGTTTGAGGTTGCAATGAGCCAGGATTGCACCACTGCACTCCAGCCTGGGCTCTGTCTCTTAAATAAATAAATAAAAAAAATATTTTTTAAAAAAATCAGCCGGGCTCGGTGGCTCAGCCTGTAATCCCACGCCTTTGGGAGGCTGAGGTGAGTGGATTGCCTGAGCCCGTGGGTTCAAGACCCGCCTAGGCAACTTGGCGAGACCGCATCTCTACAGTAAATCAAAAAATTAGCCGGGTGTGGTAGCGTGTGCCTACAGTTTCGTGGAAGGCTGAGGCGGAAGGATCGCCAGAGCCCAGCAGGCCGAGGCTGCGGTGGCCGGGAGCGGCCACTGCACTCCAGTCTGGGTGACAGAGTGAGACTCCAACTCAAAAACAAAAACAAAACAAAACAAAATCTTAAAGCTGGGAGGCCCACGCTTCCTGCTCCCTGATTCTTTTTATTTTTGAATTGGAGTCTCACTCTGTCGCCCAGACGGGAGTGCAGTGGCTGCTCCCGGCCACCGCAGCCTCGACCTGCTGGGCTCCGGCGATCCTTCCGCCTCAGCCTTCCAAGGAGCTGGAACTACAGGCGTGCACTACCTTGCCTGGCTAATTTTTTGATTTATTGTAGAGATGAGGTCTCGCCAAGTTGCCCGGGCGGGTCTCGAACCCGCGGGCTCAGGCAATCCACTCACCTCAGCCTCCCAATGCGCGGGATTACAGGCTGAGCCCCCGAGCCCAGCTCTCCCTGATTCTTTGTCCCATGCCGGCCCAGGCCTGACCCTTGATTCCTAGGAAGCCCCTCAGCCCGGGAGGAGAGACTCACTCACCATTCCCACAGGCCGACAGGAGCCCATGTGATCATTGTGACCATTCCAGCGGAAGAAGTCAGGGTAGTCGCCGTGCTCCAAGATGAACTGCTGGCCCCGGAAGTCAGGGTGATCGAAGCAAACCCAGGCTCCACTCTCCACGCGAATGGAGTTCACTCGGTTCATAAAGCCTCGGTCCTGGAAGTTGTCACAGTCCCCAAAGACCTCCAGCTTCCGCCCCGTGAAGTGCTTGCCCTCATAGAGAGTGATCTGCAAGAGCCAGTTAGAGAGCTCAGAGCAGGGGCTTCTCTTCTTCTACATTGGAGACTGGCATCTGGGGCCCAACATACTTGACTGAACCCCGACTCTCAGGCCCTTAAAGCCCAGCCCCGCTGCACACAGTGGGTGCCCGGCGCTATTTGCTGATTGGGCGAAAGGCTGGGGGGCTGACGTCAGACACAGCTCCTGGCCCTCCCTGGCCCTAGGAGTCACGGTGGGGAGGACGAATTTCAGCAGTTATCTGGGGACAGGGATGTTCCCCTTGTTTAGGTGCCCATTTGAAAACGGGCTCTTTTCAACTTCCACTGCATTTTTTAAACTCATTTTTCATTAACTGTTAAAACATAACATCTATAATAGCATTAAAGGAAATGTTTTCAAAAGAATAAACACCCACAGCCCCATCATCATATCCCAACATTTACTTTGCAGAAAGTCAGATTCCTGGGGTTGGGCCTCCTTAAATGGAGAGGCTGAATCGGCCGAAGCCATGTCAGGGCCTGGCACAGGATTAATGTTCTCAAAAGAGGGCTTTATAAGTGTCACCCTGTCTCTCTTTGTTTTGTAGGCCACTCCTTTGGGTAACTGGTGTATGTCAGATATGGAACTTGATCCACTAGCGGGAGTTCAGACTTAGAGTCCTACAGCTCGGTACACTGACGAGGTCATCCTTGTCCCCAAGCTAAACAGCACGAAGCAATAACAACACCCAAAACTCATTTTCTGCAGTCAAACCTAAAATCCCAGTCATTCAATAACTCTTTGTGTCTCAAGAATCATGGACCTAAAAGGATCCTGTCAAAGTGCAATGCTGTTGCCCAGTAACTATTGTCATTTGTGCTTCACTGATGTTTCCAGTCATCTCAGGAGAACTCGGTAGAATTACCCTTCCAGGCCCCTTGGTGCTAGCTGTAGTCACACGCTTTGACTAAAGGGATATGTGTCAGGTGGACACTTTGCTGCCAGGGCGTGATGGCCTCTTCCTCAACCTCTTCCATGCTGCTCCATCAGCCTGGGGTGAGGGGGAGGGTGTGAGACATGAACCCACAAAGAATGTGCAGTTTGAGGAAGGCAGACACTCCAGTGGCTTTAACACCACTGGGGCTGTTTGTTACTGAAGCATAATCCGTCCCATGCAGACTGATACTGCAGTACTATCACCCACAGGCTCTCTGGCGTGTGGTCCCTGCAGGCTAAAGGCTTCATCACGTTAGCTAGGATAAGGGCACTAGAGAAGAAAGGGAGAAAGATACATGCACAAGATGGGTCTGGGCTGGCAGAGGGCCGCTGAGACATTTGGGAACGCCTGGGCACCCAAAGGGTTTGGAGGGCCCTCAAACCTCAACATTTTGCAGAGAACCAGGCCCAAGTGCCCCTGGAGAGACCCTGAGGAAGGAACAACCACATTTAGAGCAGTCTCAGGCAAAGAAGAGACAGCAGGGGGACCCAGGGCCGTAGGGACAAGCCAAGGCTACCCCACCCCAAGGGAGCCCCACAGGTCTGACCAACAACGCTTCCCACGGACCCCAGAAGGAGGGGAAGTGGACAGGGAGACCTTCCTGTCCACCCTCACCGGGGAGATCCTCGGCCAACAGCGAGGCGTCCCCATTTTATTAAGAAACTAACCGCCTTGGCCTGGGTTTGTCATCGAGCAAGAGTGCGCTCCCTCCCCCGTCCCTGCGTACGAGGGGCCGATGGGGGG